GAACAAATGGAAAAATAATGTTAAAAAAGTATTCTCTGAGGGGGGCAGAGTTTGATTGCTGTCCTGACCAGACCCAATTTCTATTAGCTCCTTGACTAACCTCTTAATCTAGAAGATATCTGCCGACCTGAACACCATCTAGGCACCGCACTCACATAACCTGACTCAGCAGGGCGAGTAGCATCGATAGATGCCTTTCTTTCAAGCCCCAAAAGCAACCAGACGGAAGCACAGACCTGGGGCCTACCGCACGCTTCGAAGCCTGGAAGAGCTCCTGGGTAGTACGGCAACCACCGAGAGCACTCCAGCGGAGCAACTGACTGACACAGCGGTGCAAATGCCAGGTATGGGTCGACGCTCCCAAAAGCCACAACCCTCTGCATAAGGCAGAGACATAGGAGCAATGTTGCAAAGGCCTGCTCAGACGAGGCCCGCTCCTGCAGAAGATCCGCATGTGGAGACTCACATCGCTGCAGCATGCAACAATAGGCCTGAGACCACACCACACTCACCACCCACTCAGTGGGAGCCCCAAGACCCTTCAGATGACTCTGCACCAACTACCAAGCGAGATTTAAAACTTCTTCTGGCCAACATACATATTAACATAGTTAGATAGCTGAAAAGAGACTTGCTTCCATCAAGTTCAGCCTTCCTCACATTTGTATTTTGCTGTTGATCCAAAAGTGGACAAAAAAAACCAGTTGAAGTACTTCCAATTTTGCAACAAACTAGGAAAAAAATTCCTTCTTGAACCCAGAATGGCAGTTAGATTTGTCCTTGGATCGAGCAGCTATTACCCTACATTGAAAAATTATATCCTTGAATATTCTGTTTTTGCAAGTATGCATCTAGTTGCTGTTTGGACATCTGTATGGACTCTGATAAAACCACTTCTTAAGGCAGAGAATTCCATATCCTTATTGTTCTTACACGCATGACCTCGTGTCCTATGTAAAGTCTGGTTTGTGCATAGATTTCCACACAATGGTTTGTATTGGCCCCGAATGTATTTGTATAATGTTATCATATCCCCTCTCAGGTAACTTTTTTCTAAACTAAAGAGGTTTAAATTTGTTAACCTTTCTTCATAGCTGATATATTCCATTCCTTTTATTAATTTTGTAGCCTGCCTCTGTATTTTTTTTCTAGTGCCATAATATCCTTCTTTAGAACATGCGCCCAAAATTGCACAGCATATTCAATATGTGGTCTTACCAGTGATTTTTAAAAATGCAATATGATATTCTCATCCCGAGAATGAATGCCCTTTTTCATGCATGACAATACCTTACTGGCCTTAGCCACTGCTGATTGACATTGCACATTGTTGCATAGTTTGTTGTCTTTAACAATCCCCAAGTCCTTTTCGTGTGTTGTGATCCCTAATTTACTTCCATTAAGGGTATACGTTGCTTGTGCATTCTTTACGCCGAAGTGCATAACTTTGCATTTTTCAACATTAAATTTCATCTGCCATATCTTGCTCGCATTGTATTACTTTACAGAGTTTTTTGTGTCATCTGCAAACACTGAAACATGACTTTCAATGCTTTTTTTCAAGATCATTTATAAATATGTTAAATAGAAGGGGTCCCAGAACAGAACCATGAGGGACACCACTTGCCACCTCTGTCCAGCTTGAAATGACAACTCTTTAATGACAACTCTTTGTACTCTTGTACTCTATTTTTAAGCCAATGTTCTACACAAGAACAAAAAATTTAATCTAGACCAATTTCCTTGAGTTTGAACTAATCTATTGTGTGGAACTGTATCAAATACCTTGGCAAAATCCAAATAGATCACATCCACTGCAACACCCTGATCTATACTTCTACTTGCTTCTTCGTAGAACACAATCAAGTTCGTTTGACATGACCTGTGCTTCATAAAACCATGCTGATTTTTGCTGATAACCATGTTCTTCTCAAGGAATTCTTGAATATTATCCCTTAATAACCTTTCAAATATTTTCCCAGCCATAGAAGTTAAGCTTACAGGTCTATAATTTCCATGCAAGGATTTTAAACCCTTTTTGAATATAGGAACCACATCTGCCTTGCTCTAATCCTCCGGAACACTTCCTGAAAGAAAAGAATCTCGAAAGATTAAAAACAGAGGTTCACTTATATCTACACTTAGTTCCTTAAGTACTCATGGATGAATACCGTCAGGCCCTGGAACTTTGTTTATATTAACTTTCTTTAGTTGCTGCAGCACCTTGTCTTGAGTTAACCAATCACAATTATTCAGCAAATTTTTAGCAGCAATTATTTGCACATCTGTTGCCATGGGTTCTTCCTTAATATATACGGAGGAGAAATAGTTATTTAAAATACCTGCCTTTTTCTGGCCTTCATTAACTAACACCCCCATTTCAGTTTTTAGTGTTTTTTGTTTTTTTAGAATTTATGTACTTAAAGAATGCTTTGGGGTTGGTTTTGCTCACTTTGGCTATCATTTTTTTCATTTTGAAGTTTAGCTAATCTAAATCGCCTTTTTTGCACGCATTTTTGGCTTCCTTATATCTTTTATAAGATGCATCCAATTTGTCCAATTTAAATGCTTTAAATGCCCTTTTCTTAATTTTAATCTCTTGTTTTACTTCTCTACTAAGCCACATTGGTTTCAATTTGTTTATTTTATATATATATTACTCAATGGTACATACTGAGAAATGTACCTTTCTAATATTTGTTGGAAGATGTTCCATTTATCCTCAGTGTTCTTTTCACTAAAGAGTTTATGCCAGTCAATATATTGTAAAGCTGCCCTTAACTTATAGAAATTGGCCTTTTTAAATTTATATGTTTTAGTATACCCCATGTGCTTTTGTTTTTTTGAGTTTATTTCAAAGGACACTATATTGTGATCACTATTTACCAAGTGCTCACCTACTTGAATGTTGGTCAAAAGATACATAAGTTGCTGGCAGCTGATTCAGCACTCCTAAAAACGGAGGTGCAAGCTGTAAAAGAGCGAGTCAGGACCACTGAAGGAGACATGAGGGCAGTGCAGACCCGCTTGACTATCATGGACCACTCCATGCAGCAACTCCACGCTCAGTTACAGCAGAAGAACTACCACACTATTTGAGGAGGTTGGTGGCTACCATTCTACCTCATCCAGTTGCAAAAAAAATGACCATTGACAGTTTCTACCACCTTCCGAACCCTAATCACCTCAAGTCAGCTATAGTGCGAGACGTCATCCTACGATGTATCACCCTGCCTGACAAGAACCTGATTATGTCAGCACTTAAAGGCAAATTGCCCTTTATCTTTGAAAATTCGGAACTCACCTTTTACCAGGATCTCACAAGAGCCACTCTTATTCTACGTAAATCCTTCGGCCCAGTCACGGCACAGGTGAGAGCGGCAAAGATTGCCTACCGTTGGGGACTGAACAGCACCTTGGTGGTGCCTCAAGATGGGACTATGCAAGTTCTACACTCCATGGAAGAGGCCTCAACCTTCCTAACCAACCTGGGGCTCTCGAACCCACAAACGACCTTAACACTGGGAAAGCCGGCGGAAACACAGGACCCCTCTGAGATACCACCCTTCGTCCCAAGAGCATCGGGCACACAACCAGCAGCCCCGTGAATGACCGGGGGACTTGTACATGAAAAATCTCGCATAGAAAGCTCAGTTTTTAGTTTTTACGTTCTTGTTTATTTCTAAATGCCATATATAGCTTGGAATGCTCAGCATTTTAATTACTTACAGCAGAGGCCCAGGTCCAAGTCACAATAAATAGCACACAACCAAAGTGGAAGATAGAATCACACAGAGGGGCTGAGGCAGAGAACACTCAGGCAGAGAAAGAGACAAAAAGAGGGGCTAAGGGGAGAGAAAGACACACAGATAAGCTGGGGGATAGAGACACACAGAGAGGTGAAAGGGAAACACAGAGAGGATAAGGGAGAAAGAGACACACAAAGGGGTGGGGATCTAAAGAGAAATGCAGAGGAGCTGGGGAAGGGAAAAAGAGAAACATAAAGGGGATGGGGGACTGAGATAATGTGTTAGGGTGAAGAGATACACAGAGGGGCTGGGGTAGGGGATTAAGAGACACACAAAAGGGGGCTTGAGAGAGAAAGACGAACAGAGAGGCATGTAAAATGAGAAACTCAGAGCGGATGGGGGGAGAAAGTGTCACACAAAGGGGCTGGGGATGGGGGAAACGAGACACAGAGGAGCTAAGGGAGTAGAAAAAGAGAAACACAGAGGGGCTGGTATGCAGAAACAGGGTGCTGTGAGAAGAGACACACAGAACAGCCGGGGCAAAGAGACACACAAATGAGGCTTGGGGGGGATACAGAGGGGTTGTGGGGAAAAGGGGACACACAGAAGGTTTGTGGGAAAGAAAGGCACAGAGGGTCTGGAGGGAAGAAAGAAACAAATAGAGGGGATGGATGGGATAAAGAGAAGCAAAGGGGGGCTTGAAGGAGAAAGAGATGCACAGAGAGGCATGTGATATTATAAACTCAGAGGGAATGGGGAGAAAGATACACACAAAGGGGCTGGGGAGTGGGAAATGAGACACACAGAGGAGGTAAGGAAGGGGAGAAAGAGACACACAGAGGGGCTGGGGTGCAGAGACAAGGTGCTGGGAAAGAGACACACAGAAGGGCTGGGGCAAGAGACACACAAAAGAGGCTTTGGGGAGATAAAGAGAGGATAGGGGAGAAAGAGATACACAGAGAGATTGAGGGGAAAAAGAGGCACACAGAGGGGATGGGGGAAATACATAGACACACAGGGGCAGTGACACAGAAAAGGGCTTGTGGGGGAGAAAGAGATATGCAAAGTGGCTGAGGGAAGAGACACGAAAAGGGGCTTGGGAAGAAAGAGACACCCAAAAGGGCCTTGTGGGAGAAAGAGATACACGGAGGGACTGGGGAAGGGGAACAAGAGACACACAGATGGACTGGGGAAGGGGAGAAAAACACACCAAGGGCTGTATGGAAAGAGATATACAGAAAGGCTGGGAGTGGAAGAAAGAGACCACAGTGTGACTTGGGTGAGAAAGAGACACAGAGAGGATGGGAAGAAAGAGACATACTGAGGGGTGTAGTGGAAGAGACACACAAAGAGGCTTGAGGGAGAGAAAAAGACACACAGAGGATCTGGGGAAGGGGGAAAAAAGAGAAACACAGAGGCGATGGGGGGCAAAAGACAAACAGAGGGGCTGGTGAAGGGGATAAAGGGACACACAAATGGGAGACGAAGAGACATACAGAGGGGCGCATGGAATGAGACAAACTGATGGACTTGTGGAGACATAGAGACAAACAGAGAGGATGGGTGAGAAAAAGACACATAGAGGGGTTGATGAAGGGGAAAAAGATAAACAAAGGGAGAGAAAGATACACAAATGGGCTGGAAGAAAGTCAGAGATACACAAAGGAGGGAGTAAGAGACACACAAGGGGTTGTAAGACACACAAATAGGAAAAATGGAACATAAGATCCATTGAAGCAGGTAAGACAATCAAGAGAGGGTATAAAAAAAAACACAAAAGGGGGTGTGAATTCAAAAATCAAAAGGGGGTTAAGAGAAACACAGGTGAAGATGCATTTTTTGTGTGTGGGGGATGCATCTTTGTCTGTGTAGCCAAAAGTTCTTGCACTGGCCCTGGAGGCATAATACGTATATAGTAGTATTTATTGATTATTATTCCAGATATTATATGACTTATCTTGGAAAAGTCAAAGCAGAAATTGCAGTGAAGTTGATGGGCTGCCTTGCAAATGTGGAGAACCAGTTTGAGAGATAGCCTCAAGCAATTCTACAGACAACAATGGTGGGTCACAGCAACTTACTGCATATTTAGGAGAGAAAGGAATAGAACACTTGCAGTCCAGAATGGAATGTTGTACCCAGGGCCGGCCTTAGGGGTGTGCGAGCTGTGCGGCCGCACAGGGTGCCATTAAGCAGGGGGCGCCATGCGGCCGACACAGCTCACACATGGCCGGCCAGGATAAAAAAAAATTAAAAATAATAATAATTTACGGCGGGGCTTACTGTGCGGCGGGGCTAAAAGTGCCGTGTAACTGCTGCAGGGGAAGCAGGAAGGAGTCCCTGCTTCCCCAACAACCAGAATCCAGGAGCTGCACTGCCTGTCTGCCTCCGCAAGGAACAGAGGTAACTATGTGTGATTGTCTGCCTGTGTGTGTGTGTGTGGCTGTCTGCATGTGTGTTTGTGTGTGGCTGTCTGTGTGTTGCTGTCTGCCTGTGTGTTTGTGTGTGGCTGTCTGCATGTGTGTTTGTGTGTAGCAGTCTGTGTGTGGCTGTCTGCCTGTATGTTTGTTTGTGTGTGGCTGACTGTGTGTGGCTTTCTGCCTGTGTGTGTGTGGCTGTCTGCCTGTGTGTTTGTGTGTTGCTCTCTGCCTGTGTGTTTGTGTGTGGCTGTTTGTGTGTGGCTGTCTGCCTCTGTGTGTGTGACTGCCTGTGTGACTGTCTGGGAAGACTAGATGGGCCGAATGGTTCTGATCTGCTGTCGCATTCTATGTTTCTATGCCTGTGTGTGCGTGTGGCTGTCTACGTATGGCTGTCTGCGTATGGCTGTCTGTGTGTGTGTGTGACAGGGTGTGTGGGAAGGGGGGGTAAGGTGGGCGCTTTGAAGATTTTTCGCACAGGGTGCCCAAAGGCCTAAAGCCGGCCCTGGTTGTACCTGAAAGAACAAATTGCTCTTTAATAGAGAATGTCAGGTGCATGCTGACAGGTTGACAGTTGCCACATAAATACTAGGCTGATACAGTTATGACAGCTACATATCTACAGAATAGATTAGCTACAAAAGCTACAAATAAAACTCCATTGAAACTTTGGTTTGGCAGAACCCGTAATAATAAACACATTAGAGCATTTGGATCCAAAGCATTTACATTTGACCCCGTTCAAAAAAGGTCCAATCTTTATAACAGAAGTGACACAAGAGTTATGACTACATATAAGTTAGGATGGTGTTAAGAATGGGTTTGGGAATTGTGGGAGAACTATTCAAGAACTGTATAGGGAGCAGGGGAGAGTGATGGAGCCTGGGGCTTGCCGTTCCCCGCCACTTCTACACTCAAGCTGTTTTTGCTGTTCTGGTACCCCAGTACGGATGTGCCTGGCTGCGCGAGGTGGCCCCCTGCCTGCCCTCCCCCCCCCCCAAAGTTGCCTCGGCCCCACGCCCCAACGCAACCTGCCGATGACGACCCAGAAGTTACTGTTATCTACCATTGTATAACTCCATATACTTGCTGTTACGGAGCTCCAGTGTACCTCTGCCAAGTCTGCTACCTCTCACTTATCAGGGACCTTGGAACACTTCATATCCAGTCACCAAGGCTTGTCTGGGATCCCTGAGGGCCTTTTCCCCCCTGGACCAGGCTACTGTGTATGTAGCCCTGGACACCCTTTCCATCAGCAGATTATATCCCTTTCCCCAAACACCAGACAACACATGGTGAAGGTTAAAGGATCACTATAGTGTCAGGAAAACAAACCCGTTTTCCTGACACTATGTCATCCTTGGGGGACCCTCACCCTCAGGGTTCCCCTCCCGTGGCGCTGAAGGGGTTACAACCTGTTCAGCAGCTTACCGTTATTCAACGCCAGGCTCCCTCGGCGCTGGTGATCTCTCCTCCCCCACCGACGTCAGCTCCCAAGTGGAGCGGAATGCACAATGCTTTCCTATGGGCGTTCTGCAAGCTGGATGTGAATTTCACATCCAGCGTCGCCGAAGCGCCTCTAGTGGCTGTCAGGAAGACAGCCACTAGAGGTTGGATTAACCCTGCTATGTAAACATATCAGTTTCTCTGAAACTGCTATGTTTACATGTGAAGGGTTAAAACCTGAGGGACCTGGCACCCAGACCACTGCATTGAGCTGAAGTGGTCTGGGTGACTATAGTGTACCTTTAACACAGCAACTCCTTTACTAGACATAGCACACACATTTTTAAGACCCCAACAGCCTCATTTAAATACAATAGGGTACATGAAGCACTACAGTACAAGGAAGGGTGGGTCAGACAATAGCAAAGCCTGATGGGAGATTGAGGAGGGATAACGCAGCTATTTTAAACTGGTCTGGCAGGAAACAATGAGACAGGAAAAAGGGGGAGGGGGAGAGGCACAGACAAGAAATACATTAAACATACCCTGCACTAATACTGGGCACACAGTGACCAAAACACAAGATGAGGATAGGGACCTACATATATTGTCTGTCTTCCATTCTCAGTGATTGTGATTATTGTCCCACTCGCTCAAACAGAAACCAATATTAATGTCCAGTGCCAAATGCTCACCGAGTACTCATGTTCATAAAATACTCATTGCAACTAAAGTAACGTTTACCATGTATCTATTGTACCCCAATACTGCTACATGTACAAATGTATATTTTCATGTTACTGAACAATGCAATGTATTGTTTTGACGACTCCGCCACAAGTGGCAAAAATAAAAGAATTATAAAAAAAAAAAAAGATAGGATGTTAATGCTACATAATCCTAAATCCAGAGAAAGGAGAAGTAAAAGTGAGAAGTATTGTTTATATTAAAGAAATGGTACAAGCAACAAATGATTTTGATCTTATACAAAATGGAGAATAACAAACTAATTTACAGGAACTACTTGTGCAATGGCCAGACTGGATGAATCCTGTCTCCATACAGAGTTCACTGACTAAGGTCTTGGCAACAAATATCTTCACCCAAGAGAATACACAAGTAGAAGAGGTAATAGAGTAAATTGATGGTTTGCTGAACCACCACAAGCTGATCAAATTTTAGAACCAACTCCCTGACACTCATTCAAAATAAACAAAGGAGCTTTTCAGGCTGTTAGTCGATAACTTGTACCAATATTTTGTACTTTTACAGTTTTGAAAATAGAAACAATTTCTACACAAATTTTACATTAACTGAACATATTTATTATTCAATGGAGTTTTTTTGTAAATATTTCTGTTACTGAGAGGTAAATACAGAGGATATACATGCCAGTCAGATTTATTTTTTCTTCATTTTTGATGTGCAAATGATAACATTTCATCTTGTGATGCCACAACAGCTGTAGCAAGCATAGCGGTAACTAACAGTATGAAATATTAGCATGGCGTTCAGAAAAACTGCACAATTTTTTGTATAATTAATATAAATAATGTTTGCAGCAGAGATGGGTTAGAAAAGAGAAAACAGACAAGGCACATTTCTGCAGCGCTCAAACACAAATTGTCACTAGGTGGTGAAATAACAGACTGATATCTCGGTTCCTCCAAGCTATTGGAGTGGGGAGGCAACAGGTAAACTAAGATAAATATATAAACTTGACCAATGCATTTGGCAACTGTGAGGGCTATGGGTTATAAAGGAACGACAGTCAGCCTATGCCTAGATCAGGCATATGTACTTGCTGTGTCCATTAATGTGTTGCAGCCCACCCAGGATTTTTCTCATGGCTCTTTGTTCCTCTGATGTGGACACTGCAAATTCCCGGGCCCGGAGATCCCCTGTGCAACAGACCTGCTTGTCAGTGCCCTTACATTCTGGCCTCAATGTCTGTCTGGGTAGAGGTCTCTTGTGAGTACAGGTCCTCCGTTTGCAAGGATGGCTTGCCGGCAGCGAGCTCCAGCTGTGTTTTGGCCCTGGGGAATGCAGCAGTATGGAGGGGTGGCAGGGGCGGACTGAGAACCCTCAGGGCCCCCGGGCAAAATAAATCAAGGGCCCCCTTACAGGCCCCACCCATACTCTGCAGCAAGCGCCACCCTTGTCCCGCCTCCAGCCACACCGTACACAATCTTTAGACACAAGGAACAAAAGGGCAATAAGCCCTTCGAGGCCCCAGTAGAGACTACAATTGAGGGCTAATAGGCCATGGAGGGGGGTCTTTCTAGCGGAGGCTATCTCAGTGTCCTTTAGAGGGTGTGTTAGAAAGAATCCCCTCCAAGCCCCATTAGAGACTACAATGGAGTCTAAAAGGCTTGGAAGGGGGTCTTTCTAACAGAGGCCATCTCAGCGTCCATTAGATATCCCCTGCTGGAAACAGTCGCCTCCAGGCCCCAGTAGAAACTACAATTGAGGGCTAATGGGCCATGGAGGGGATTTCTAGCAGAGGCTAGAGTCTAATGGGGCCTGGAGGGTGGTCTCTCCAACACTCTGGTTCCTATTCACAATATAGCAACACAACATAGCTCGCTGATACCTAAGCCAAG